CATCACAAATGCCTTGAACTGTCACGGTAAGAGCCTGTTAGGTCCAGGCCTTGCTTAGCTGTAACGAAGTGCTTGTGGAGGAGTCTCACTGCCACGCGGCTGCAGCCACAGCTGCCCGCCCGCCAGGCCCCGTGCGACAGTGGGTCGGTTAGCTGGGTGCCGGGCTCCCCATGCCTCTGTCACGTTAGAAATACAACCTGCAACAAACAAAAAAAAGAAACAACTTTGCAAAGAAGGGTTCAATACCACAGAAAATAGTGTGAGCCATCAGCCCACGCTGCAGCACGTTACATTGCATGGATACTCGCTTCTCTGTCCTGCAGTGTTGCCACCAGCCAGTGCCTGCACTGACATCAACATCTGTTCTTTCTTCTTCCTGCTTTGTGAAGGTGAAATTGTGCCGGTTTCAGCAGCAGCAAGAGTGCCAAGACTGTAACTGCATGCCTGAGTGGCAGAACAGGTAGCAGAGGCTTGCACAGTTTGAAGACTTTGCTTTAAAAACATACACACACGTGCACACACGAGGGTGTAGTTTCTCGTCATTTTTTCCTATCTGTGTTCGAGAACACCCTGTCCTACTGCCTCAGTTCTTACTACACAGCCCCTGTAGCCATATCTTCAGATCTTGTTCTAATTTGTGTGCAGATTTCATCGATGTTATCAAGGGATTTATATCTGACTGGTGTATCAGGTCCCACCTCCAGTACCCTGAAGCAACGACCGGCTGGCAAAGAATTGCTGATGTTTGTCTTGAGTTGTATTTCTAGAAGATACCAAGGAAAATGCATGGAAGGGAATGCCGCGGGGTGGGGGGGGGAGGGCGTGTGGATGGTTACATTAAGAGACGCACCAGAGAAACAAGCTCACTGAGCTTGGCAAAGAGCGGGACTTAGGGGTATTTTTTCCACTCTGCTTTGGAGTAGTTGTAAATTGACTGTTTGGCTCGGTTTGATGTTTCTTTTCCCCAACAGATGTATAATTTGGAGCCAATGCTTTCCTATTTTTCCACAGTAATGACACATCTTAGCCATAGCTGGGTATAAACACCTAGATTATCAATGTCATTTTGTTTCAGTAAGATTTCCACTGTTGCCAGTAAATCCCCCAAACCGGGCCATTTATATCTGTGCAGCTACATTTCTCTTCTAGCAGCTTCCACGGGCCTCGTTATTCTGACTACTATGCAAACACGTGACAACGGGAGCACCAGCAGCCAGCCCCCTCCCAAAGCCCTCCGCTCCCTCTGACCCTCAAAGGACAGCGCGGAGAAGTGATGCACAATAAACTTCAGCCACCGCCGAGAGGAAGGCTCCTAACTTTTTTCTCCCAGTATGATTGGTCTTCTAGATTATATGGGCTCTTTAAGAGAGCAAATTCAAAATGGTACAGATATTTATTATCGGATGGCCGCAGTGTAACAGGACCCCGCACACACACCTTGCACTGGGGAGCCACCTCAATTTTTGCAGGCTCCCAATGTGCTAGAGCATAAACTTTTTTTTTTTCTTTCTTTTGCAAATGTGTTGTTGACTCTGTCATTGATGCATGCATGTCTTTGGATATTTTAAAATCTTATATCCACTGGTATTACTGCTTTCCCAGGGGCATGCAGTAATCAGGTACTATTTTTAAACTCTTCAGTCAACCATGACTTCCTTTTTATCTGTCCACTCTGTAGCTGCCGTAGGGAGTGAGCATGGCATTCCTCATCTTTTTGCGGTTTCTACTTATAAGGAATAGGCAGGACAAGTAGTGATTCTTGTTAGTGCTGGAGTGCTACACAAGTTAGATTACAGGATGAAGTACAGATTGAATCATGTCTCAGAAATTCACCCTCCAGTGTCACATTGTACCCGAGTTAATGCAAACCAGAGCTAATACTACACAAGCACGAGTACAAAGCTCTCTGTTCCCAAAGCTCCCACAGCTTTTTCCATGCCAGCTATATATATATATATTAAAAAAAAAAAAGAAACTAATAATACAACAGATTCCTGTGTTTGTTTGCAGAACTGTATGTGGGCAATTTCTTGAGTCATTTAATTACAAGGAAGCTGAGGCCTGAACAAAGAAATACACTCACTGTTTGCTTGTTTATTGAGGGCAGTCCTTGTCTTCCTTTCCCCCAAAATGAAAAGGTCCCAAGGTGTTTGAAGGGCAGCTAGAAGGAATGGAGGCATCAGATGCCACACCAAACCTGGACACTGATACAGCTGTGAGACTGCTGGTACCTACATCTTTTGCTTGAAAACTGCATTATTTGGTGGTAGTACGCTACTGGGCCCATGAAGCCGCTACTCGTTTCTGCTTGGCCACCAAGCATCAGCAGGACCCTGCTGATTACTACCCATCATGCGTTAATAAGTGTTTGGGGGTGAGGGGATGTGGAAAATACTGGGAGCACCTCAAACCCATGTCTTTGATTACACTCTAACACGCACCAGCTATGCTCCCCACATAGTGCTATGTTGTGAGGAAGAAATCAATCAGCCCTTCAACCTGGGAAGACCAGGGGCCTATGACTTATACACCAAAGCACAGAAAACAGTTAAAAAGGTCCAGGGGCACCATCATACAGTCCTGCAGCCTCAGCCATGTTTTTGCAGGAGCATCTCAAGAGCAACAGGATGAGTAGAGCCACTTCACGAACAAGTAAGAGAAAGCGTCAGGAATAGCAATCATAGCTCTGAAATATTAGTATTTGTTGCAATTACCTGCTGACAGTATTTAAATAAGGAATGCTATGCCACCAAAAGCAGAGCTATGTGAGAATGTTCTGTCATTGTTTTACTGAGTGCATTAGCTTTTCTTTTTTATACAACATTCTGTTATCTCTTAATTTACAGGTACTTTGCTTAAACTGTTGTACAGGACGTGATGTACCAAGACAGCATTGCTGAGGACAGCCACCTTAAGTATGTGTTTTAAAGATCTGAGTTATACAAAAAATGAAAAAGGAGACATAAGGCCATCTTTTTTACATATGTTCCAGTGCTATTCTTTTCATTTTACTATATCCCATTCCTAGTGTCTTGCGCAAAGAAGCAGTCTTGAGTCTGCATTTCACAGTTTATTTTATTGCCAACTAGCATAAACTTTTAATTATCAATTCTGGTATTGAGAAAGAAAGACAAGCAATTAAACAAACACTCAGAGGAAATACATCAGCTTCCCCCCAGACAACTCTCCTGCCCCCTTTCCTGATCTCCCATCCCCCCAGTGCCTTCAAGAAGGCCATGGACAGTCCAGGAGATTGGGGTCAGCTGCTGGGTCTTCTTTTGCTGGTCCTTGTTTCTCACTGCACTGCTCTGGTGTGGTCTTCTCCACCAGCCGCAGTCCCTCTAGAGTCCTCCTCCAGTGTCTTCTGTATGCCTGCCCCTGCTCAGGGGGTTTCTTTGCTCCAGCACTTGCTGGTAGCATCTCTTTGCTCCAGCCCTGCTCAGGCCGTGGGCCAGCACGGTCTGTGATCTCCTCCTCCCAAGTCACCCCTGCAGTCCCCAGCTACCAAGACCCTGCCAATTATGCCCAATGCATCTGCTTGCTTTTCTGTAGGACCTTCTGTCACCTATTCCAGAATCCCCAAACCACTTTACACACATGAGTTACCTAGGCGCACAATGGATCGTTTTCAAAGTAGCTTAAAAGGTCATTGGTATGTAAGCGCAGCGTAAGAGAGAGCGAGTGAGTGAGTGGGATTTGTTAATTCCTAGATCCACCCAACTGCTATGTTATCTGGGGTTAGGGCAGCAAGGAGGACATTCGTGAGTGCGAGGGCATAGAGCAATGTGCTCTGAGCAAGTGGTGTGCCTTGAGCGCCCATGTCATGGCCCATGATGAGGGCTTGTAGGACTGGAATTGTACAGCTAAGTAATTCTCCATAATGTCAGGGGAAACTGTCCCAAAGGTGCTGTTTCAGTTATCCCTAAAAGCTCAGTTATGCTAAATCCAGGAGACTGAAAGTGCTCAGCAGGGATGGCAGCCCCCGTGGGCTGAGAGCCGGTCACGCATCCAAGGAGCCCCCCACAGCCCTCTGCTGCCCAGCAGTGCGTACTGGACGGGTGCCCACACTGGGCACCCCAAAACTGGCCACACAGCCACAGATCCAGCAGCAGGGACATGGGACATGCTAGTCCTACCAGCCTGCCAAAATGCCAGGGGGAAAGAACAAGCACACGTGTCATTTTAGGTCTTGTCAGCACTAGAGAGCTCATAAGCAACCACAGCAGTGGGGCTGGGAGGCAGAGGGGGAAAGAGAGACGAGGGAACGGATTTGGGTGCAGGCAGATCTTGCAAACCGTCCTTCTGAGTACAGAGGGCCTGCTATATGCTCCACATGGGTCTCCCCTCCTTCCCGATCCCCCCACACCACAGATCTTCATTTGTTTTCCTCAGGCTCACAAACTCTTCCCCAGCTGCCAGCATCCTGAAGCCTGGGGAAACAGTAACAAGTGGCCATGCCAAGTGCTAGGAACGGGTGAGAGGGTTTAACCTCGAGGAAGGGGAAAGCAAAAAGCAGTAACTGGTGCTATGGGTACCCGTTCCCTCTCCACATGTGGTACCTATTGCATCCTATGCCCTTCAAGGGCAAGAGTGCTCTTCAGGGTGTGGTGAGGCACCACTGGTGGGCTGCCTGCCACCAGAAACCATCAACTCAAATGTAGCCCGGCGTAGCTATATAAAAACATGCACACACTGCTCCCCAAGCGAAAAATCACACCAAAAAGTATAGTGTGTTGGGAGGGGAGAATAAAAATAACAAGTGACTATTCAGAGACAACCTACTGTTCACTTGATTGGAAATGCAAAGCAGCGTGATGGCAGCAGACTAGCTGCCCATAGAATTGCCTCCAGAAGGCTAGCTTGTGCTTGGATTTAACCCCACCACACAGCAATCAAACCGTGGTCAGATGGGAAACCTGCAGCACTCTTCGGAGTCATCCAGTGCCCACCCCATGCATTCCCACCCTGTCGGATTTGGGGTGCACAGACACAGAAGGCTGGTTGCATGAGATGTTTATTTGCCTCTCCTCCTGTGTTATAGGGGAAAAGTCCTTGTTTCCTTGAGTCATATCAGTCCTAGTGCGTCTCGTCGTATGTGCCAGCTCCCTTGTAGGCTCCAACGTAGCCGCTGCTGTCCATCAGATCCTCGCGGCCAGCAAGACCCTTCCCTTTGCCACTCTCATCAAAACGCTCTTTGTGGCTGCCGGTGTATTTGCTAGTGTCCGTCAGCCTCTCGACCCCACCAACCTTGGTGGCTTTCTGCAAAAAAGGAGGCCAGCAAAAGGCAGCCGGCGTTGGGAAACAGCTCACAACCAAGCTCTTCCCTACATGCAAGGACAGCACACGTCCTTACAGCAGGGAAGAATGGTCCCGTGACAGCTCCCAGTGCACAGCAGATGAGGAAACGCATACTCACCGTGGCGCCCACGCTGCTGGGCTCCTTCCCCTCGATGAGGCCATACACAGCCTGCAGCGCTTCCTCTGGCGATTTGCCCTTGAAGCGCTTGCAGCAGAGCTCCTTCATGGCCTGCTGGAACTCGGCAAAGGTGATGGTGCGGGCACCCTTGGTCCTACGGCGAAGGCAGACCAAGAGGAAAGTTACCTCGCTGCTGGGTGGCAGCGGGATGGAAACCCCCAGGGCTGCCCCTCGGACGAGAGCCTGCCTGCCTCCTGCCATTCCCTCCTCCCGTGCGGCTGTGCTGCCCACCGTGCCTCCCTGCGACACTCACTTGACTTTGTTGAATACGATGTCAATGTCAGTGCTGGTCACGGCTTTCCCATCCATCACTCCACACTCTTTGCACATCTTGGAGAAGTTTTTCCCCGTCATGTCGTTGCCACTGGCAGATGTGTCACCATATACCGCAAATTTACGGAAAGCATTTTCTACCTCAGACATCTTGCTGCTGTGGAGAAAAGACGTTGATAGGGAAGGAGCTGAAGACCATCTGCAGCTGCTGGACACACACTCATGTCCCGTGCACCTCATCTCCAGCAGAGCAAAGGGCACCACCCACAGGTATCTCTCCACCATGGGACAACTAAGATGACCACATAGGTATCGACACAGAACACCTGGGATCCAGGCAGGGTCTGGGCAGGGATGGGTTGGAACCCAAGGCAAGGCAAAGGAAGGGTGGAGGTGGGGCTCTGGGGTGAAGTAATGAACGCTGCATATGAAGGAACAAGGCATCCAAAGCTTCTGAACCTTTTTAAATACAAGTTTCAGTTAGACTGTCTCAATAAAAAATGCCTGCATTTGTAAGCTGATTTATGCTTTGCCTGTTATTTGATGATAAAGAGTCCAGATTGTCTTCCAGGCCCCAGATCAGTGCCTAAATCTCACAGACATTCTTGCAAGTAGTCACCACGAGTTGTCCCCATCCTTCCCCATCACGCTTCATCCCCTGAATTGCTCCCTGAATTAGGTTGTCCTGCTCCTGACACCAGTAAATTTTCCACTACTGATCAACTTTTAGACCGCTACAATCAGGTATCAGGGACCTCTGAGAACATAAAAGCCATCGCTCGGATTGTAATCAGTCCACCATGACTTGAGCAAAAAATCCTGCTGCTTGTGAGACCCCCTTGAACCCCTTTGAAATCCCCAGCCTCTCCGACAGCCTTGCACTTCACCCAGGGGCTCTGGGTCTCAAGGTTATTTGCAGGCTGCCATTTAACATAAATCTTGTGTGGGTCTGCACCTCTCTAGAGCAAAAATCGGACAAGCTTGTACCAGGGAGGCTGCGAGCATGAAGGGGGCGGCGGGGGGGGTCCGGGTGTCCTTGCTGCAGGCCCTCCCAGGACCCTTCCCTCCCTCCCTGGGAGGTGTAGACCCAGCTCACCTGCGTGATCCGGTGTTGATGGTGATGGCACTGGTGCTGGCGCTGGCACTTTCCCCACTGTCCTGGAGGCAGTGGGCACTCAGAGCCGCCCCT